CGATAAAAGAAAAAAAGAAAAAGAAAAACAAAAGAGAAAAAAGAAGAATAAAAATAAACTAAGACGGCAAATGAATTCGCTCGATTAAGTTGGAGTTAAAAAGAGGGTTGACTACCTGGTCACGATACAAGTTTCTTCCTTTTTTCTTGCGTATGCGAGTGGTTCTGCGTACAACCAGCTGTGTATAAGGATATCTTTAGAGGTGGCTTTTATCGCTAAAAGCCAAGTGTGAATCGGGGCCACCGGTGCTCGATCAAAGGCAACCGTGCCGACATGATACAACTAATGTAACAGAAAAAGAGAGAGGAATAGAGTGAAAGACTAAAAAAAAAAGAAAAGGATAGTTAGAGTTAGAAAACAAAAGGAGAAAAATAAGAAAGGTAAAGAAAGGGAAGTAAGAAGAATTCGTTTGATTCAGTTTAGCCAATCTCTTCTTCTTTTTGTTGTTGTTGTTTTTTTTTCTTCTTTTCCTTCGCGATTAAAACCGACGACGATTAAAAACAAGTGGTGGTTGGGTGTAAACGATTGATAGATAACGCTTATAAAGATATATATATATAAAGAGATGTTCGTGTAAACGATTCGTCGAAATCCTTATTGAGAGTTCTCGACTGGAAAATTATTAACCGACGAGATGCAAGATAGGTCGATGCATCGAGAATATCGTCTTTGCGTATATATATATATATATATGTTCGTGTATACACGTGTGCATATTGTTCGCTTGAATGAATTCAATGAGAAAGAAAGAGAAAGAGAGAGAGATGGAGAAACGACGAAGAGAGTGAGAGAGAGAGAGACGGGAGTCACCTAATCGTGACCGCCTACCGACAAATTAGAATATATCGAAGTTTAACTCGACGACCACAAGATATCTCTTTCCCTTCACGAAAATCATACTATCCCACACATTTATAACGATTAAATTTAACTTCACACATTTATGTTCGTCATTTATTCGTTTCTTTTTTTTTTGTATGAGGTAACCGCTAAGAAAAAAAAAAAAAGAGAGATAATAAACGTTACAAGTAAATATATTCTCTAGCGAGATCACATAATTTGCATTCGATCATAATTGGGTAGCGAACCATAACGTAATCATGACTAGAGTATCTTAATGAACTTAAAGTCAAGCGTGTATGTGACCGATTATACATACTTTTGTCATTTTTTCATTTTAGACTCAGAATTCCGCTGTCCGTTTACGAGTTTTACTTTGACGGTAGTAGTCTTAGTGTGGTAATTCTTGTTCTTATCAGTTTCGTGTTTCGTGGATAAGAGCAACACACGCGACACGATAAATAATCATCGCGAATGATTTGTTGAAGAAAGAAATGTCTTTTTAAATCGAAATAAATGGTGAATCTTTATCGTAAAAGTGTATATTTCATTTCGAGTATAATACATTTAATAATCTCGAATAAATTCAAAGAGGAACTTTACAAAATAAATATAAAGGATTCTTGTTCAATTAAATCCTATATTATCGATTATATTATTATCGAATATACAAAGAACAAATATTCTAAACAAATTTCATCGAGAAGGAAGAAAAAATCTTGGAAAAAGTGTTTTCCAACAAAGGGTTAAATCAAATGCGTATCGGGTGATGGGTGGCTTGTAGACGGCCCTGGTCCTGGCGTGGCGTCGGTTCTTATCCCGTGGCGCGCGGAAGCAAAAGAAAAAAAAAGAAAATTTGAAAAAAAGAAAGAGAGTGAGAGGGTAGACGCAAGACCTGGCACAACAAAGATCCATCGGGACCGGTTTCGTGTTCTGCCCTTTTTTACATTCCCCGAAGAGGCCCTGCCGGGCAGCGGGTGTGAAAACCGACACCCACCCACTTGTTATTTTGTCAAACACGAGCCCTGAAAATTATAGGAATCATGCGGCACATCGAGCCTATTCTATACGTTTAATATAAGCTATACACACGACAGAGATTATATTCCATCCAATTTTTATTCTTTTTATTTTTGTACGCTTCGTCTTTTATAACTGGCAATTAAACCCGAAACCGGAAAATGATTGCTGCTACCGATTTACGTGCAATGAAAGAACCCGAGATGACGTAAGCAAACTCGGCCATTTTGTTAATCTACCTACAAACTATAATACTGTATACTTATCACAATTCTATTAGTTTTTCGATTCATACATGAACGTAGGGGCTCTGAAATCGAACTGACTCGGCACTGCGATTGACGGAATTGTAAATTCCGATAGCTCTCGCCGGTGGTTGCAATAATTTCGAGGCAATTGAACCGAGACGAAACACCGATTCCAACATATGATCGCCCGAGTACTCAACTCTGGAATAGCTTCGCACAGCTGCTGCCATGGCTAACCGCATTGATTATTATTACCGATAGGTTGAGCCGAATACAAGTTTTCGTGATGAGTACTTATATTTCTCTTTTCTTTCTTACAATAATTTATCATTTCGATGTTATTTCATCTTTCAAGTAATGTTAAACAAAATATAAACAATATATCTCCGTGGGTTTTTCTTTTTTGGTTAACCAAAAGTAATATACCTTTTCTTCTAATTTATTATTTTTTAAATAAAAAATTAATTGCATTGCGGTGTAGTCAACCTTCCTCTTTTAACCCCTCCCCTCCCACACTACCTCTCTCTCTCTCACTTTTTTTCTCATTTTTATTTAGTCGATTCGCCTCATCTGAAACGGTCTTCGGTATCCTTTAATATCCTCTCTCGTGCCAAGTTTTCGTTGCGCCGCTTTTTATACCGATCAACCACCGCATTCTTACACTCGTATCGTTTCTCCTTCGTCGACGTAGTGCTCCCTTGAAACGGAACCCAAGATTTGAGAGCGAGTCTTCCTGGGAAACGTTGACTTTTTGCGATTCTCCTCGATTGATCCTTCTTACGATTAAACATGATTTTCCAAGTAACTCGATTTCTTTTCGTTTATGCAACAATCAAAAGAAGTCCCTTTTGATACGAGAAAAATGATAAGAAAACGATTCAGCGTAAATTATTTTTATCTCGTCGTTAAAACATGATAAAGCAATTTTATATATTAGATGTAGCAATTAATTAAGTGTGTCCCTTTAACACAGATTTAATATTTATTTTAAAAAAATAATCATACATCTTTGTTTTTTTTTTTCGAAATAATTTCCATTATTTTCCATGATTTTGATCCATTTTTCGGATAACTTTACAAAAAAAAAAAAAAAAAAAAAATAGCGATTTTTATACAATGAATTTAATATCAAAGCACCGAATTAATTGCCACGCCTAATAATTACTCATGCAAATAAGAGATATACAAGGACATNATATATTAGATGTAGCAATTAATTAAGTGTGTCCCTTTAACACAGATTTAATATTTATTTTAAAAAAATAATCATACATCTTTGTTTTTTTTTTTGCCAGTCGCCCCCGGCTTTGACTTCGACGTTCTTTCGTTTTTTTGAAAACTAAAAAAAAAAAAAAAAAAAAAAAAAAAAAAGGATAGCGATTTTTATACAATGAATTTAATATCAAAGCACCGAATTAATTGCCACGCCTAATAATTACTCATGCAAATAAGAGATATACAAGGACATATGCGAAAGAAACGTTTTTTCTTATCTTCCTATTCGAAAGTCATATAAATATTTACAAAGACCAGATAAATTGCGTAATGGAGAATACTCATTTCTCGAGAAGTCTTTTTAATAGATATTCTCGTGGTCATAAATATCGAATGACAACGTAATTCTTAACAAAGAGAACGACAACAGGAGTCTCTCTCAAAAATGAGTATTCTTATTATTAGATCGACTTTAACTCACGAATGTTCATGCTACTAATATGGTACTTGTTGTAAAGGTTTTATATATGTATGTTTAAGCGAGAAGCATAGTCTTGCAATCAAGGACATTTGTTATTTTGCATTCAGAATAACGAGAAACTCTTTCTTTTTCTTTGTCGTGCAATGAACGTATCAGATGTACATAAATATGTACAACATGAAAATACGTGGACGGCCGATAATGATCGAAGCTTCATTAGCCTAACTAAATGACTTGACACCACTCGTGTTCGAATGATAATATGTTGCCTCGAAGGATTACAAATCAGACTTAAAAAACATCATATCTTTTTTTTTATAATTGTAAGATTTACATTTATTGTTTGATATATTTATATTAATATAGATTTTTCTAGTGTTGTTTTTTGGCACCTTTTTTACGGTATTTTTAAAATGTTTCAAAATCAAATAAGAAATATTTCAGAAACAATAAGAATAATTAAGAAAAAAATAAACAAATATAAAAATATAGTATTTAGATTTGATCACACGTAAAATTTAAAAAAAATTAAGATAAATTCTTCAATTTTTTGAGCTACATGGCGTAGGAAAAGTTGCTTTAAATCTCCTTTAAAAAAATGATATATTCGAATATAATTTTCTTTAATAAAAAACTCGATAAAAAGTGAGTTCCGGCATCGGTTTTTTTTTACAAAAAAAGCATTGGATATATATAACAACATATTAATATCTTACAATTAGTATTTTATATTCAATCAGAATAATTGTATGAATTAAACAAAATAATCGTTATTAATTTTAATATTAAACTTAATTAAATATCGCTATATCTAATTGAATGATAATATCAATGATAATAATATCAAGTCGCGATAAAGAGAGTTTTCGAAGGACATTTTGAACACAAGTAATTTAGACTCTGAACTCGGAGGTCATTGACAAGTAGGGCCAAGTAAGTACAGTAGTCAATTTATTCTCATCGAATCTCACGGAGTCAATCATATCGCTAAAAGATTAAGCGATATACCCCTGGAGCTCATTCTACGAAATTTATAAGCAACTAGACAGAAATAAAAAGTAATATGCTTTTATGTGGATATAAGTTATTAAATAATGAATTATATAGAGAATATAAGTATTTATATATGCATTTATATGCTGGTAATGATGACAGCTGACTAAGAATAAATCAAAAATTGTAAACAATTGATTTTGTGATTTATTATTTTATAGTAGTTATTTGTTTAATAAGATAAATCGTAAAATAAAATTCTTAACTTACAATTAGTCCATAGTCATAATTACCGATGCATATGTGTGCACCAAGTTCGTATACCTTTCGATAATTTGATAGTATTTGTTAGCAGTGTGGATTTTCTCAGGTAACAGAAAGCTTTTACTTGGCGAGCTCTTTCATGTCGTTGGCATTTTTGCTTCATTGTGGAAACCATACCGTGACAGAACTAGTACATATATGTACATACGGAGTTTCGCTCAACAAATAAGGCTCTTGTTAAAAGCACGGAGGCTAGCAAGTCTCCATATTCCTCTGGGACGGGTTTTGCACACGCGTTGACCATAATCGGAATACAATACCTGTCCCTTTTATTCCTCTTCGATGGGACATCGTACTGCTGTATCTACGATAAATTGCAAGAAAACTACATAGAACTAGCTTATCCTATCACATAAATTACAAATTTCAAAATTTGAACAATCATTTTTTAATAACAAAAATTAGATTAATACAAGTATATCTTTCCTGTCGATATAAATAAATTAATATTTGCATAGCCGTACTCTTTTTCAATTCTTTATTCGCGTACGTAGAAATAAACTGATTTTTAATTTAAAAAAGACATCTATAAAAGTTAAATCTTTCTTTGATATATCATTTATTTTACGTATATGGAAGTGCATATTACACGAGTAAGTAATATAACCCGTTGGTATCAGAGACGTGTTTTCTATGTTAGTTTAAGCATTTCATTGCCAGGTGGCGTACTTGTTCAATGTTTCAAATTTCAATAGTACAGTCGAGTCTCGTTAAAAGCCCGCTCGTTATGAGTCCGTTAACGAACAATTCGATGAAATACCTTTCTCCCTCCGTGAGGTGAACAAAATATTACTTTTTTATCTCGATATATGAGACCACATTATTTCTTAACAAAATTTAAAATAAATTTCTTAAATAAATGATCTTCATTTTTAATTCAAGTAAAAAAAAAAAAAACAAATTTTATAATGTACTAAGTAGTAATATTACAATAATAGTAATGACAATAAAAATAGAATATCATTAATTGTAAAGTAAGTTAAAGGAACTACCAATATTGCAAAAAGTATTAGATGTTGAATGTTCAAGACCTTTTCTCTCCCTGAACGCTCAATAGACATGTGATGTTTAAATAAATGTGCTATTGTTTAAACATTACTTAATTATACTCCCCCTGCGTACATTATATCTTATTTGAATTATTGAAAAATAATTATTTAAAACTTACTTGTTATACGAAGGAAAAAATTTCGATGTTTTTCAGTAGTCGGAATATGAATTAATATCCTTTTGATATACTTCGATAATCAGAGGTATAAATGAACGTTTGATCTTAATGACAGTGTTCGACAACTTCAAATTTAAAGTTTACCTATCATAAAATATATTATTGACACAAAAACATTCATTATTACTAAGTCTAAGTATGTTGGAACGTAAATAATAATGATTCATTATAGATTTTTTGTAATTTTCGATATTTATTTTATTTTATTAATAAAAATCATTATTATTTGTCGGTTTTCTTTGTCTTCTCAGTAGCTTGCTGCGCTTTCATTACTTTAACTACAATCTTTTGTTCCTCGATCAGAAAAGCACGGACAATCCTACAAAGTTCAAATAAAGTTATTACTCAAATACTTTGATTTATTTGGTAATATATATCGAAACATTTTTGGTCAGTATTTAAAAGGAAGGTAGAGTTGTGTTTAATTTACTTAAAATGTTTAGCTTTCTATATAGGTCATAATTTGTCAGTCATAGAAATACATATGAATGTTGGGCATTGGTAACCAACTGAGAGCAAAGTATGTTTCTGATCCATAATACTTGATGTAGCATTTAACAGGTTCTAACGATATATACTACAAACAAGGGTACATATATTTGTTTCAAACATTGACCATCTATTTGCAACACTGACAATTTTTGTATTTATTGATGTATTCCTAATCATTTGTATTATTTAACGAAATTTAATTATAAATGCTGACCAAAAATTTCTAATAACTAGTAGTATTACTTAATTATAATTTGCAATACAATATTGAAATATATTGTCTAAATATTACGACTGAAGTGATATATTATTATGCTAAAAGGTTTAACATTGAAAATTTAAATATAATTAAGATTAAAATTAAATTTCTGAAGATTTCTGGTGAAAGAAACACATTAGATATTGTTTATTAAAATAATATCAAACATACCTTTCTTTAACGCATTTGTGACAAAGAACACCACCATACACACGTTTTACTGTCTTCTTTCTCTTACACATACGAGATCGTTCCATTGGTCTTGCAGGCTGAATACCTCGTAGCTTATCCTTGCAGTGACCGCATCTAGGAGTTTTCTTAGGTTTCTTCAAGTACTGATATACTAATTTACCTCCAGGAGTACGAACACTATAAGAAATATATATCGATTAGTAGTTATCAAGGCAGTAGAATTAAAACAAATAAATTCCTTTGATATAGCTGTCATTCAAGAGTATGCTTCTTGCGTTATAAATAAGGTTTTACTGTATTAACCAGTTTTACAACATGAATATTATTGTGAATTAGATAACGGATGAGATATTCTAATGTAATAAATTAAAAAATTTTAGATTTAAAAAATTATAAGTTGATGTTAAATATATATAGTTGATTATGATCACCGGTAGCACACAGTGAGTATATGATGAGTGATTAGAATTACTAGTTATACACTATAAAACTGATGTGTTAAATATACATCTATTAGTTTGTTATTTGTATTTAATATTCAGGAAACCAAAATATATACAAATTAGAACATATGAGTGTGCATTAGGACTGCAGAAGATATACAATATGTGATAGCATATATGTAAACATTGACTGTATGTAAATATTATAAGATTCTAAACAATTATACAACTTCCAAAAATTGCAACTAAAATAATAAACGTCAATAAAATAAAAATTAATACTCTTTTTAAAATAATCTTAGTGAAAAGAACTTTCAGCATCTATATTTTATCGTATATAAAACATTAATAGTGATGAATTGTTACAATTAAAAAATAGAACTTAGATCAGTTATCAATACTTCTCTATTAATACAATTACATTGATTTTTTTCAAATATTAAATTACACGTGGAGAAATGGTAATGTACTACCAAAACATAACCTAAATTGTACACTACAGTAATAGAGAATGCAAGTAAACCAATTTATTTAAAATTATAGAAAAAATACGAATCAAAAGAAGATTATTTGTCACATCAATTGTGTGTGTTAATTAGATAGAATAAAATTTGTTACTTACACACGTCTCCTGTTACTTTTTGTATTATACGACAAACGTCGTCGATAGGTTAACCGTTGTACCATTTTGGTTCTGTGAAATGAAAGTTTACTTTACAAAAATTTATTTATAATAATTTGAAACTCATGAGAAAAATATATATAATTTCAAGATATCTAAAATATCTGTACTCTAATCTTGTGATTAACAAAAGATATGTAGATTTTTTGAAAATGTATAATGTCGACACAAACCTCTTAGTAGAGTTAAACGGAAAAGGAAGCAAATGTGTTCGGAAAACTTACTAGAGAAGCAGTAGAAAAGTAAATGCGATTGGACCAATAGACATTCATATAGAGAAAGTCTAGTTCTTTTCCTCATAGCCAATAGGAGCCAATAAAAGTAAATGAAAGAAAAGCACATGTATAAGCGTTTAGATAAAATATCAAAGTTTTTATAAAAATAAAAAACAATATTAAATATAAAAAAATATTGTTTGTGTGAATTTCTGTGTGTGTAGTTCCATAGCACCTATGCATGAGCTATCGCTTAATAATAAATGAACGAGATGTTTAGGTACACCGAGTTATATTGGATGTGTTGATTGAAACATTAAGATTAAATATATTTTTTAGGAAATGTTTAATTTTGAAAAAAATTTGTTAAGATTAGTTTCACCAAAGCATTTATGACTTTGTTTCATATTATTATTAACATAACTAATACAATACAATATTTTTATGTATTCATCAAAGTATCGTTATGAAATTTTAATGCATACTTTTTTTTGAAAGTGATATATGTCTATTTGCAGCTCTAAACACACACGCAGTCTTGTGTTTCTTTAATAATTTTATTAATTGTTATCGAATAATAAAATTTAACATGTTTATATCTTACATGTTAATAAATATTAATTGAATTCATTAAAATTTACCAATATTTTTAGATCAATTCAAATGCGAATGTTTAAATATTTCAAAATAGAAATAAATAGGTTTATAATAAGTTTAAAAATAACAAGTATGTAAAAATTTATTTGTATTAAAGTAAATAAACGAAAAAAAAAAGCTGCATCGGCCGGGAATCGAACCCGGGCCGCCCGCGTGGCAGGCGAGCATTCTACCACTGAACCACCGATGCTGATATCATACGTGATACAGTTTATAGTATTAAGTCTTCAAACACAAAGTGAAAAACGTTCTCTCTTCGATTATTAATTATAAATTATAAAAATATGCATGTTAAACTTAAATTCTAAAAGTAATATTGCCACTATTATTTAATCTATTGTTCATAATGGAAGTTGACGTTCAGTAACGATCGGCTTATTGTTAGTTGAGCGTGAATTTGATGCCAGTACCGCCTTGATTATTTATAAATTAATTATGAAGTAAATAGGTATAATATGTTTCCAAATAAAGAAAGCTGATAAGCATTAAAAATAGAATAGCCGATTAAAATCAGTTAGCGATATGTGATTGAAGAGTATACTCGTCATGCAGAAAAAGTAGTTATTATTTGCTACTTATTATATATATATATAATTTGTAATTTTAGTGAAAACTAAAAAAATGTTACAAAACTATATTCGGAAAAAATCCAAATATTAGTGTCTGTCTTGCGAAGTGTCATTATGTATTGTACTTTTTTTTATTCAATGTTATTCAATAAAATCAAATTTAATTTCTAACTAATCATTATTCTAAATAATTGATTTTTGTTTCTTTCATATGCAAATAATGTTTAAATTAAATAAATAAATAAATTTTTGTAATAAAATTATTAATTTTATAAAAATTAAAATAGTCGTTTGATTACGATTTATTCTTAATTAATTCGATATTATACGCTAAACATATTATCATTTCATTTTAGCAATACAAGTCAGATATACATTTTTTAAAGAGGTCGTTGCATTTAATTGTTTAAAAAATTAATGGTAGATAAAATGCTACTGTCAGACACAACAGTTAAGACTATATATACAAAGTTTGAGGTGCATGTGGAAAATGAAACACTGATTACATTGTATAAGGTATATTATTTATTATATCTTATGTACATTCAACATCGTCTTGACAACACCATAGGAAAAATGTTTTTGACACATCCCAAAATTTGTTGGCAGTAACTCTCTGCTTGCTTCTCTTTGCGTTTAGTCGTTTTGTTCTATACAATGAATCGAAGACACACGCAGGCGATTTGCTTAACCAATTTTATAAAAAAACTCAATTTGTCGAGTATACATAAATTATTGCGTCTGTGTATGTGTAGATAAGCTATGTATATAATGGGACGGTACCTGTGTGCTTTGTTTTCACGGATTTTATTACTTTTTTTGTTCTTTTCGTTTTCGAAGCAGGTACTTTGACAAAGTTCGCTGTAAAAAGAGAGTCGTAAAAAGTACAAATTAAACAACGCGCACATAAGTCGCCTAAATAACGCTTAATTAATTAATGATATAGCTGCTTGTAGTAACGACGATCGTTGTGTGATCGTCGTACTATAATTCGTTACTTTACACGGCAGAGTTTATCGAAAACTCTAACATAATGAAATAATTCTACTCCTTTCGTACTAGGAATAATAGATAATACCTACGATACTTAGAACTTTTTTAATTTAGTCAGATCTCTAAACAATAAATAAGTTTTTTTTTTCTTTTAATAAATAGTACTACAGATGCGTTTATCGATAAAGAATTAAGTAATTAAAGGTGTGGGGGAGAGTTCAACGATTTCTTCGCCTGTTAGTTTGTTCGTTCTTTCGATATGGATAATTGAAAACAATAAAATAAAATAAAGTAATAATAATAATAAAAAAAAAAGAAACAGGAAAAGAAACACGAAGGATACCGAAGAAGAATTAAACAAAAATTCGATAATTTTTATCAGGCAATATTTTTTTTTCCCTTATCGATCACTTTTTTTTCCCTTTTATCGATTTCTATAATTCCAGACTTGTCCTGAAAGCTTTACACGTATACGAGAATAACCAAAATATGTAACATGAAGTACGATCCAAAAGCTTTGAAAGTGTAGCCCACGATATTGGGAGAAAAAACGAATTGGATCTACGAAAGGAAACTACCCATTTTGTTTTACAATAACAAGGATTATTAAAGGGTGATGAAAGGAAAATCGGTTAAAGTTATATGTAAGAGATTTTCCTGCTCTAACTAATATCTTCTTTCTCGTCTCGCATCTACGAATCGTATAATATTGATAGAGATCTATGAAATCTAATAATTCGCTGAAACTATCGACATTCTCAAAACTTCAGGTCGCACTCGTTAATTCGCCGCTAGACACAAATAGTTACAGCTCAAAATTCTTAAAAGTTACCGTATTATACCGTCGTCCCGGTCAAGGGAGAGGATAAGGACATATTAGAGGGCCGAAGGATCGGCCTTGGCCCAATCGGGACGACGTATAACGGCTATTCTCATTTTTCATCGTCCCCTTAACTTTTATCTTACTTTTTGCTAACTTTTAATACGAACATTTAGGAAGATAGCGCTATTGATAATTAATATCTTCTGAAATTTGTTAACATTCTCTATATAAAAATCTGCATTTGCGTGTTATTTACTTATTGCTTCGTAATCGTCGCCATTTTGAGTAGCTCCTTTGTTCCTTCGTCCTTAAAAAAAAAAAAAAAAAAAAGAAAAAAGAAAAGAGCTATCTAGCGCATTCGTGTCCCATAACGTTTCTCTATCATCGAGGTCATGATATTTTTGAAGCGTTCGAAAGGAGAGAATCGTTACAGGACGAAAAACGAAGATAACTCTTTTAATGGGAGTGCATTTTTCGCGATACTCACTTCTCCCTCCCTTTTCTTCATTTTCCTAACGCGAAGCGAACGATCTTCTTGAGTAAAATCACTTATCCCATTAAACGGAAGCATCGTTGGGCTATCTCGAAGAAGAAAGATGATGCGAGAAAGACCGAAGAGGATGATGATGATGAACCGCGTCGTCCGAGACACCATTTATTATTCTCGCGCGACGATTGGTCATTATTTTAGATTCTTTTTTATTATATACATCTCGCTTCCAAATTTCAATAACATAACCCAACGTTGCTTCGACGTCGTCAATACTACCTTACTTGTTAGAATTGGTTAAATAAAGAGTAAAAAAGAATGTTCCGTGGCACGGCTTTAAACTTTGTTTGTCTCTCTGTGGTGGAAGTCGTGCGACTCACGCGAATTTTTCTTTTTCTTTTATTTTTCTTTTCTTTTTATTTGTTTCTATTTTCTTTTCCTCATCGGCGATTGTGGGTCATTATATTTCTTTTCATTCTCTTTCTTCCTTTGTTTATTTATTTATTTAAATTATTTTTCGACGACTATGACGACGACGATTTATTAATCGCCGACAAGGACAATTTTAGCCGGATATCGCAGTTGTCGCCCGCCTTAGGGTAGGGAATAGGGGTTGCAGTCTTTAGAGTCAAGCGAATGGTGGTTGTAACAAGATACAAACCATTATTCGCGATGATAATTAGCTTTCGCTATCTTTATCTCTTTGTTTTTTATCACACACACTCTCAATTTTGTTTGTTTAATATTTTCGCTTCTCTCGTAGCATTAATTTCTTGTAAAGTATATTTTACGAAGGATTTGGAATGGTCGTTGTTTCGCGACGAAAGTTAGGCTGGATGCGTACCCTCTCCTTCTTGCGCGTTCCTTATCGCGAAGAGTCATTTTATACGAAGAAAAAATATGATTAAAAGATAAAATATAAAAAAAAAACAAATCACAAAAGAATAAAAACAATAATAAAAAGAAGAAGAACAAAGCAAAAGAGAACGATGGAAAAGAAAATAAGAGTATACGAGAAAATTTTGGCATTTCTAGATTTTCTTCGTTTTGTTTAAGACCCTCTCTCTCTCTCTCTCTCTCTTGGGTTGATAAAATGATAGCTCGTCGAACATTTTCACCGGAAAATAATTCGGGAACGCGTTTTTGCATTATTGTTTCTCGTTGGCCAGTATCCGTCCTCTGACGATCTCTTTTTTATGAACGATATTCGAGGATTTGGAATCCTTTAGTTTCGTTTAGTATGTTTCCTAGTTTGATCATTTTTTTCTTTTCTTTAGATATTCGTTGATATGTTAACGTTACACCGAGGGACAGACAATAACACTCTTACCCCTTATTTTCTTGCGTCTCATCGAAGAATTAATTGTATGTATATAAAGATGAACGAGAGTCGTCTATGTTCATTTTACGCGATATTGCATAAATAGATTTCGTTATCGAGTTTTTTTTCTCAATGACGATGTTAACATCCTTTATTTTTTTTTAGCATTATTTTTACACCGCCAGAGTCGTCCCCACGGTTCCTCTTTCGCTTTATTCTCTACTTTTTTTTTTTCTTTTTCTCTCAATCTCTTGTTTTCTTTTCTCGCTTCCTTCCTTTTTTTTTTTACGTCCACGAACAGGACACGCGTTTCGGCGTGTGATCGTATCACTTGAGAGCGAAGGTTCTTTTAAGCGCTCACCTTGGCACATATACTACTATTAATCCCTTTTTCTTTTCGTTATATTTCTTTCACATTTTTCATACTCTCGACAGGTACCTCCAAACTTCACAGACCGATTAATTAGGCATATACAATATATACTCATATAGGTAACGTAAAAGGCAAGAACTTGTATCATCTTTTTCTTTCACCCTTTCCTTTCCCTTCCTTCATTATTCGCAAAAATTTACAATAATTTCGAATCTCGTTATACTTTTTTGTCTATTTCATCATCGTTATCGTCAATTAGTCGTTTTGTTCGTACGTTGGAAACACACTCTCGCCCGTATCATACACATATACTCTCTCATATCCACACACATACAATCACACACACGATCACTTTGTAAAAGCAACAACATTATTTTTCGTCATTATTTTTTTTAGGCGAGTCGAGCAAACGTCGTTGTGATTAGAAGAATTATAAGTTGTTTCTCACTGACAAAACCTTTCCAATCTACTTTTCCTTCCTTCAATTTTCCTTTATCGTTAACAAACGACATAATTGTTCTCACGTTAGAAGAAAATGATATTTCGAGAATAAATGTGACGATAGTTTTTCGTCCTGTTTTAAAACATATCGTCCAATTTAACGAAACAAGGAAATAGAATAAAGAAAGAAGAAAAAGAAGCGAAATCAGCGATGAAATTAACCGTGAATTATCGGTCAAAGTATATCGTATAAAAATTTGTCCTAACTAGTTAGTTAGTTAGACTGTCGTTCTACGTATACAAAAGGTACATACATACTTATGTACCAAAATACACAAATATATATACATAAGTAAAAAAAAGGCAGTGGTTTCTTACAAATGTCGATCCTTTAATATTCTTCTTCTTTGTTCATTATTAAATTGGTATTTTTACCGTTGCGTGTGTAAAGTTAATAACAAGCCGTAACTTTTCTTACCTTGTAAATACGAAGGATCCGAAATTACGCGTGTTGAAATAATCAAAATTAAAAGAAAAAAATTAAGACAAATAAAATGAAATGAGAAGAGACAAAAGAGAAAAGGAAAGAAAATAAGATAGCTGAAGTAGGAAATTCGAATGACGGATCCTTCGAAGAATTTCAAGAATAATGTTTGCGATTATTATGTCGTATCTATACTACTCTCGCGTTTGCATTCTTTTTCTTTAGAAATTTTTCTATCTTTCTTTTTACGCGAGAGAGTCGACAACGCGAAACGGCTTTTTAATTAAGGCAGTGGATCGCAGCATGCAGCACAACTTTTGTGGCTTGTTCCTTTCACGCTTAGATATAAGCTGATGATGTTGATCTCGTGAAGATTCGTCCGCAAGATCGAGGAATAAAGCGAAAAATGTCTGCTCGATTATATTTCTTCGTAAATTTTCTCGACAAAAAATGAAAAAAAAAAGAAAAAAAAAAACGAGTTCGTTCGTCACGAGCAAAACAAACAACACACAGAGTTTTGTTTCATATCGTTTTTTTCGCTTATAATTTCTCCTCGCCGTGTTATGTCAACAAGGACAAATCTTAATCGACAGCTACGCAATAGATATATATATAATAATATATATATGTACGTATTCATTCGAAGAGGAAAAGTTGATTCTTTTCTTTTAAAATACACATATGTCTGAGATATATTTTCGTAGAGAGAGGAGGCCAATTAATTTTGTTCAAAGCGAGATTACTACTCGCTGGAATGTCTTTCTAATTCTAATCTCGAGAATAAAATTGTTAAGTCTTTGTCAATATAAAGAGGAAGATCTCTCGTTTTCATTCGACTTAGCATTAAACGAACGCTCGCTAAACGAAGAGGAAGAAGTTGCTATCCTTATCTTCAAGATATCCATGATCTCAACTTGTCGTCGTTTACAGTAAGCTCCAAATTTCTACTTTCCTGCAGGAAAATAATCGAGACTCTCTCGGTTCTCTGCTGAAAAGTTTCACTTCTTTCCTTTACCCTTCTTCTTTTTCCTCTTTTTTCCCTTTCCTAAACGAGAAAACTCTGAGACGTGGCAGACATTTGCGCTCGCAACGCTGTCACGCTGTTCATGATTTTCTTTTGATGACCCACTAGGGTGATACCAAGTGCGGTGAGTTCTTGAACGGTAACCCGTGCTGCTGCTTCCAACGTCGTTACTCCCGCCCTTTCGAAGCTCTCAGCATATCGAGACATTTTGATTGAGGCCAACCATTCGCTGACCGAGGTCAACTGCGTCAAGTCCACCGCGTCCGGCGCCAGTGGATTGGTGCCCCTGTCAAGAACACTGCGTCAGATATACTGTGTTTTATTCTTTATTTTTCTTTTCTTTTCTTTTTCTTTTTACTTCTTTTGCATTTATGATTTCCTTTCCGATCTTTATTTTTATTCGCCTGCGCCTGTCTCTTGCTGAAAACAAACTATTGTTCGATTTTACTTTTCAATCTTTCAAATATTTTCTTTCTTTTGCATTTACTGTTGTCTGTTGTTCAAAGTTATGTTTCAGCGAGAGACATACGTATACGTTGTTGGAAGAGATTAAAGGTATCATTCGGATTTTTTTTAAAGGGTTCTTTAGGGTTGTACAGATAACTAATATTTTTTCTTTGCTTTATATTTTTTTTTGAAAATTTACTATACTCGACATTGGGGTTTTAAAACAAAGCTAGATCCCAGAATATTTCAAATGTAATTCATTTCTACAAAATCTATATTATCGTAGAATAATGTATTATTATGTATTACAAATAAAAAATTGCAAAATTGTTGTACTGGGATCTGGCCGAAAGATCGGATAGAAAGAAGAAATTTACTTTTTGATTTATGTACAAGGAATAATAATACGTATATGTGTATGTACAAAATATTCGATAAACGAAAGGCACGCATACACGGGTAAGTTCAAAATTAAATAGATTTACACGGAATGTGTTTTCGCTTGTGCGAACGCTCTATCGAAACAATAAGTTTCGTAATCGCGTTTGCGAAAAGCAAAAGACATTCTGTCGTCGTTAAAAACATTAGCGGGTTAATTGCAAGGTTCGTAGGATGTCTTTTGCTACAATTTCTAAAAAAAATTCAATTCGTTCGATTTATTTTATTCTTATAAGGTTTTTAAAATAGGGTGTGGGGGGGGTGGGCACGTGACATAGGGCATGATAGAATAGATATATGTATATAAAATAGAACTTACAATTAGTATCTAAACGGGAGATTCATATGTTTTTTTTTATATATATGTACACGTTTCTACAAAAAGGCTCGAACGCGTGTTATATAATTATAAGATCTTACAAAGAAGCTTTAATTACAGCATTGTTAGCGATATTACTTTTGTATTATATATTTATACACTTAAATGTCACAAAAAAGGAAAGCTGTACATTATCGGTTAAGTCTGAGCCTCTTTGCAAGTAAATATAGGACATACTAAAAAATAATAATAATAATAATAATAATAATAATAATAATAATAATAATAATAAAATTAAAAATATAATAATAATTATAATAATACTAATATACTAATACTAATACTAATAATATCAAATAAAAAAATAATTATAATAATTAATAATAATAAAAATCATAAAAATAAATAATAATAATAATAATAATAACAATATTATTATTAATAATAATAAGAAGAATAATTGTAATAATAATAATAATAGTGGTAGTAGTTGTAGTAACAATATTAACGCTAATGGTAGCAGTTGTAATAAGTAGTAGTAATAGTAATAGTAGTAACAGTAGTAGTAACAGTAGCAGTGTAGTAGTAGTAGTAGTAGTAGTAGTAGAAAGAAGTAGTAGTAGGTATATAGTTATAGTAGAAATGGTAATTATAATTAATGATAGTAACAATATTACTAGTAATAATGATAACAATAATGATGATACGAGAAATATGATAAACTGAATGATAGAAATAGTCGAGCTTAAAATGGATTTATACATGTGAATCGAGGGTAATGGTGCGTATGAAGCAAGCAGTGCGATACGAACTAAAAGGATACAAGCATAGCAAATGCTGTCTCGTCTACATGATAGAAATATCTGTTACGATTTCGACAAAGCGGATAAAGCAAGGAAGCTTCTTGTCTTTCTTTTGTCTATTTTAAACTTTTTTTTCTTTTTAGAACACAGAACATAGAAAGTAAATCTCTTGTTTTATTTTCATCTGAAAGACACAACATTGCGAAACTTCTTTGCATCCCCGCTTCGTTCGACTTTTAAAATCTTTTTTATGTTTTTCGGTTATAGGACCGTTCTTGATATTTTTTTACCTTTTTCTCAAATGCACGTTGGAAGATGCCGACGTGGCGGGTGGGGGTGGGGGTGGAGCACCCCGTTCCCTGATTCTGACAATTGTTAGCATTTGTTAGTGCAATAGAGATCACACTTTTGTGTGTTTACTATTTGCGGTGTTTCGTGTTTCTATAATATTTTGCTTTTATTTCTCGCGATAGTCGTGTCATTTTTTTTATTTTATTTTTTGCGTTTCGTTGGGTGTAGCGTGATATTATAATTTCTATTTTTTTTTTGGTTTTTGTTTTTTTAGTCCGTTTGTGTGATTGCTCTCATTTGCAAGTCGCATTTTCATTTGTTGGTGTTTCCTCTTTCCACACTTATTCAAGAGTGATCTTGCTTGTGTGTCCTACATGTGTGCGTGCGTGTGTGTGTGTGTCTCTGTGTGCATGTGCATAATATATAATAGGACATATGTGGTTGCGTAAGCGAGAGAGATCAATTCAGGAGGAATAAACTTAATATAAACGCGATCAATAATTACAATCGTACGAATCCGCGCGTAATATAATGTTGTATGATAAATTGTTATTATTCCATTGAAACGCGTTAGAATTTTCTTTTTTCTTTTTTTTTTTTTGTTTAATCGTCGAGCCGACATCGAAAAAATGATTGTCTATTTTATCATATTATTTGTAAACACGATTTCTACTATTCTACGTTGTCGATATCACATATTATGTTGAACTTTCAATAAGTACGCTCGTACGAAAATCTATGTAAAATTGAAGTGGGATTGAAAAAACAAGGGTTTGGAAGGAAGTGATGAGGAATGGGAAAAAAAAAAAAAATATTGCCAAGTGCAAAAGATTTACAGCGAAGATTTATTCGCTCTTATCGATGATTATTATAGATTTTCTTCTTTGTTCTCTCTTCCCTTTCGTTATCCTTATTTTTCCTAAGATGGGGTTGCCCATGTTTTTTCTTCTCATTTTCCTTCTAATATCTCAAGTATAAAAATACTATTCTAAAATGGTCGAACTGTTTCGCTCGTATGAATAATAATATTGCTAGTAAGTCTTTACGGTTTTCTTTTTACGTTAAAATCGATCACATATATATATATACTCATATATATATATTTATATATGTAGTATGTTATATATGTGTATACTCAATACTCGCATTTGTAATAATACATTTACGTATGTAATAATATATGCAATAATTACCGCTAAATATAGAATTAGAAAAAGATCATGAAAGACTATTGTTAATCGCGCGTACACATCATCGTTTCTTGTATCTTTTATCTAAGCTCGCGACATTACGTTCTACATTTAGGCTATTCGTTGGTTCGATTCGTCCTCTACGTATATAAAAAGCTTCATTATAATTTTTCTTTTCTATTATCTTTCTCTTATTTCTTTTCTCTATTTAATATTCTCTACTTTAACATTGCAAGATAATATAATTAATGTTTTCGGACTCTTCGCGAACTCGTATGATTCAAACCCGACGAAACCCCCCCCACCCACTGTGTCCACCTAAAATGATTTGCTACAAACGTTTATCGGTAAAATTACAAATGTTCTTCTATACAATATGTTGTTCGACAAGAAATAAAAATAGATATCTATATATTGACTACACGGTGAGTACGTATATCCCGTTTGTATCAATAATAAGACTGCGCTGCGTATGTGTGTGTATATGTGTAATTTGTAGTCAAAACAATTGAGGCTCGGAGCATGGAGTCGAGTTTAATTAAAGGAACAAATGCCTAAAAAACCCGTATATAGAACGGTTCGCGCGGAAGAAACGTGCGGGAGCGCGGAAGAGCATCACGAAAACTTTCTTAAATTGTTCTAATTCAAAAATGATTAGTATGCACGCACTATGATGTTATCGGTATTTGCCCGATATGACAAGATACACATTAGCGGAAGAAGCTAAAACGGTCTAACGCTTGAATGAACAATACGATAGAATATGATACTATAATAATAATAATAATAATAATAATAATAATAATAATAATGATAATAATAATTATAATGGTAGTAATAATAATAATGATAATAATAATTATAATGGTAGTAATAATAATAATAATAATAATAATAATAATACTAGTAATGATAATAATAATAATAATAATTAATAATTAATAATTAATAATAATAAATTCTTCATCTACGGCTATTTGATATATATATATATATATACTATATAATCTTGGATAAAATTGACAACTATTAATCGAAAACGATGATCGTAATATAAACGTATGTATACATGTATATATAAATATATACATATATATACACATAGGTTTAGGTAGAGCTATAATTTATAATATCAATTAGAATCCCTTTGGTGAATGGAAATAGATGAGAGGAAATGATTAGGATAAATCGTTAAGGGAGGATGAAAATCAACCAAAGTGAGTGAAGGGAACCCAATTAGGATATGTGAGAGGTGGTTGATGTGGCAGTGCGTGTGTTGCTGCGTGTGTGTGATAGTGTAGGCTACGGGCGGCTCCTGGTGGCATTACTGGAACGGCAATCGCTGACTGGGCCTGATGGGCCTGATGACCGACCACGTCTACGGGGAACGGTCCCGTTGTGGGTGCACCTGGTACCGGAACAGCCGCCGAAGCAGCCGAGGCAGCCGCCGTGGCAGCAGCCGCCGCTGCTGCTGCTGCAGCCTGGGCGGCAGCCGTATGGCTTGTGACATAGTACGGATTGTGTGCGGGCGGCCTCACGCTGTTGTTGTTGTCACGTTGCAAACGTAGTAGGTAGCGAACGTAGTGGATGGTAGCAGTAGTTGTCGTAGCAGTTCGTAGTCGGGTACCAAAGACACCACAAAACCAAAACCACAAAGAATTAGCCCAGAAAAAAAGGGTGCTGGCCTGCCGGAGATAGATAGGTACGAAGAAGGACTAGTTGTTGTTTTCTTGGGAATTGGATAGAAATTAAAAAAGGCAGAGAGATAGAGAGAGAAAGAAAAAGAGAAAGAGAGAGGGAGAAAATGAAAAGTTAGTTCGAGAGGAATCATGGATTTCCCATCCTGGCCTGCGTTCAACGTGTTACACGATGCTTCTACCTTTGATCGCGTCAACGGAGATAAAGGTTAATATGTTTGATATCATTATCATCGTATTCAGATAATTTATAGTTGTTAAATGTAAAAAATAATAAATTGTAGATACAATTTGACAAAATCAGTTTAGAATATGCAACATGTCGCGATAAAAAGAAAAATATATATTGGATGATGATCCTGTTAATTTGTATTTTGTTGATGAATAGAAAATATTTCAATTGGCGAATAGCAGAAAAATTGTTGATTACTCTATCCCCGTTTCACGCGTTCGGTAGTAAGTTATAGCAAGCTTGATCAAAGAGGGAATGAAAGGTTTAGAAATTCGGAAATAATGGGATCTACAGAAATGATAAGCGCCAAAAGCGACAAAAGCTTTTTGAAAAAGCCACTGCAGTACAACACGCGTCTTTTTTTCTTTTTTTTTATATATATGTTTTCCGCTTCTTTTTTGTTTTGTTTAATTCGTTAACGGTTTCTTTTTCTTTTCTTGAGTCGTGAAAGAAAAAATATCCCGCGAAAATAATGACGTAGACGACTTTCGTCCATAAATTAATTTTCCTCCCGGCTGGCAGGTAAACACAACGCTGCGAAGAAACTTGAAGTTATTTTTTTCTTTGGAAGGTGCGGAAAGGAACGAACGAACGAACGAAGAAAATAGAATTGAAGCTATTTTTGAAAGACGCGCGATAAAAAAGATACTCGTGTGCAAAGCCGCGATGATGATGGGTGTCACGTTCGAAAATTGTGTGTGTCAAAAATGTAAGAAAAATGTGAAAGAAGTTTTTCAATGACAACGACGACGATAACGATTTTGATTAATATTACGTGACGTTAAACAAAAAATTTTACGAAAGGTTCGAAAAGAAAAATACGTTCCAGTCGCGAAAATTGAAATATTAATTTTGAAGAGATCGATTTTCTGAAAAATTGTAAAAACTTGCAGGTGCCATCTCTCTTGTAAAGAAGTGATTATAGTATAAAAACAAAAAAAAAAGAGAGAGAAAAAAAAAACATAAAACAAGAGAAGTTGCGAAATGAAAGGTGAGAAAAACAGTCCAGTACGTACGACCCGCTTCCAGTAATGCCAATCAGGTATTTCGAGGTATCACACGACGATACCTCGAGCACAGAGAAAGAAAGATAGAATGAGAGTTATACGTATGCGCACGACCCTAGTTCACTTAGCATACATACATACACACATACACACACACACACACACACACACATATCGTTGTTCTAACTCGTGTACGAGTGTGTGCTTAATTGTGAGAGCGTTTTACCATTGTGTGTATAAAATGAGCGCCATATCAAAGCCCATTCTAACAGCGTATGTGTTGAGGAGGCACAGAAAAATAGACAGAGAGCGGCGGCGTGATGATGAGCTTCTTTTAAATATTTTCATAAGAAAATCAAATAATCCAAAAAAGACATAAACGGAAAATATTTTTAGCTGACAAGAGAAAAATTAATTTATGGACACGAAGTGTGGAGACTCGCGTTGCATGCGACATGATTTATGTTAAACGATGACAGCCGAACGAACGACCGAACCGGAAGGAAGAGAACATTGCAAAACTGTGGACGAAGAGACAGAGATAGATAGATAGATAGATAGAGAGTAAGAGAAATAGGTGAGAGAAGTTCTTTTCTCTCGTATAAAAAAGACTTTTTTTACAGGTCTTATATAACACGTCCATAAAGTTATACAATTTTATTTGTCGTTCTTCCGTCCGAGTCATTCGTTCGTACGATGAAGGCGAAAAATTATATTAGCTAGCACTGTTCGTACTACGTTTTATATGTAATTATTACGCCGCACTATACATATATTGAATATACGTATAACATTTATAATCAAATCCCTGAGATTAAAATAGTCATCTCCGACGTACGACCGTTTTTTTTTTTTCTCTTTTTTTTACCGAGGATAAAAACGAATGTCCGACGATAATATTGTCAGTCGTGAATGAATCTGACGTTAATTAATATCGTTATATCGAGTTATCTTAAACGCAATGTAAATTGAAATAGATTGTTACCTGTTCTGCGCGATTTTCCTCAAAGTATCCGGACTTCGTATGAGTTTGTCCAACGTCTGAGTGAGATTGGCGAAGGTAGGCCGATGAGTTCGTTCTTTCTGCCAACAGTCGAGCATTAATTGATAAATTGCTTCGGGACAATCCATTGGAGCTGGAAGTCTGTATCCTTTTTCGATCGACTTTATCACGTCTTGGTTAGACCAATTCCAATATGGTCTTTCACCATAGGACATGACTTCCCAACAAACGATACCCATACTCCAAACATCGGAGGCGCTAGTGAATTTACGGAATGCTATTGCTTCTGGTGCTGTCCATCGTACCGGAATCTTACCGCCCTAATTTTAACCAATAAGATATCACACATAATTATACGTCAGTACATAAATTATATATCGATATTACTAATAAAATAAAGAAATTTGTTCTAATTTGTTTGAAACGTACCCTGGTCGTATATGCACCCTCTGTCGCACTTTCAATCTCTCGGCTCAGTCCAAAATCAGCTATCTTACAAACCAGAGCAGCATTCACTAGGACATTCCTTGCCGCGAGATCACGATGCACGTAATTCATTTCAGCGAGATACTGCATACCACTTGCTATGCCACGGAGCATACCGACGAGTTGGAGCACTTGGAATTTACCGTCGTTCGCGCGAAGGAAAGTGTCCAAACTTCCGTTCTCCATAAATTCAGTAATGATCATCACTGGATTGCTCTTGGTCACAACACCCTGAAGGAATATCACATTAGGGTGCTCGAATTGACCCATTATTGAGGCCTCCGTTAAAAAGTCGTTCCGTGCTTTGTCAGCAGAGCCTGGTTTCAGTGTCTTTATGGCAACGTCGATTTCCGTTCGACCATCTGGTGGTAGTTTCAACTTGCCACGACAAACGTCACCGAATTCACCACCGCCTATGAAAAATTATATTGCGTTTTAGTAGTTGCACATGTATCTAGTAACGATATAATACACAAAAAGATAATTTTAATTTACCAATGATGGCTTCTATTGTGATGTATCCAGCGTCAATCTCTCTTGCAAATTCTCGAACTGCCTGATTTGGATCTTCGTAGGTGTGAGGATCAACGTAACTCCTAGCACCAGTGCCACCTGTACCTCCAGCACCCGCTCCAGTTACTCCCACTGCAGGCGTGAACAGCGGCGTCGTCACTGCAACGTCACGAAAACAGAGTTCATTATATTAAGACGGGGGTCGGTGTGTGTGTGTGAAATTTAAGCGGAACTTTTTCAACATTATTTTCATCCCGTAAACACTCGCACACCTTTATTTTTTTTTTTTTTATATATTGCTTTTCTTTGTACGCGATTTTTCGAAATGAAATTTCATAAACTCCAAATAACAATGCAATCAAAAAAAAAAAAAAACCAAACTTTTAGGATATTCGATAATTAGTTTTAATTCTTCTCTAAATTGCTTTTGCAAATTTCTTTTTTATTTTATTTTTCCTTTTCTTTTCTTTTTTTTTTGGTACAAAGAAACAAAACTTTTATCGAATTTATAATTCTTTTGAATGAACAAATTCACATGCCAGTACCATAATATTGTTACATGCCTGGACATTGAATTGTTTATCAAGTACGATGCATCCGACTCGTTAGTACTATATTGGTGTTCATCTTATCTGATGGCGGATGTTTCCGGGTCTATACTTTTAAAAAATATATACTATATATATATATATATATATATAGGACAACAGAGTAAATATCGCTGGTTTTGTTTCATTTCTTTCTCTTTCTTTTTCTTCCTTTATCTTTCTCTCTCTCTCTCTCTCTCTCTCCTCCCTTCCTCTTTCCACCCTTTCTCCCCTTCTTTCACTCTCTCTTTCTCTCTTTCTCTCTACCTTTTTTTTTTCCCTCCCTCTTTCTGTAAATCGATATAAACCCAGTATACATCCGTCGTTTCTTGTAGAATATTACAGAAAGGAGATATAATAGAGTCGGTCATCGGTGAAGAGAAGTAACAAAAAGGTAATCAGAACACGGTGCAATTTTGAGATACCAGAAATGATGCATGCTCTATACTTGATACGCTAAATTCTAGAAACGGCGATAGGAGAAAAAAAAGAAAATAACTTCTGTTGGTTGGATGATAAAAGCGGAATTGTTGCGAAACTAACGTATGATGCGTATCCATCCCTGAGCTCAAGCCGTAATCAATATAGGTATATATATATATATATATATATATTTACGTATTTATGTATGTGTAGGTATGTTGTCGCGAAAGAAGAGAATAGAAAAAAAGGATTAACGGATTGACGAGCTGTAATTTCGATTAAGATTTCTTTAGATTTGCTAGCAAAGCACTTACGCGACGACTTGCTCTTGTTGTTGGTATGGGTTGTCACAATCGGTGAACTGTCCATTTTGCAGTGCACTGTGAACAACACAACAACCAACACACTGATTGACAAACAGCAAAAAAAAGAAAAAAAGCTGCGGGTCTTTGCAATGATGAGAATTCGAATGACGCGCTCGTTATAAATTATCGATTATTCTTTTTAATGTCGAGAAAGATAATAATGATCAATGTGAGAAGAGATGATTCTATATAACGCGAGCAACACGATGATTTTCTTCGAAAAACAACATATTTCTCGCAAATTTCATTTATTTTAGATTCCTCGCGAATATGCTATAAACGAACAGAGAAAAAACGATAGAAGATAATACGTCAAATGATACGTGTAACATCAATACGATTAAAAACTCACATGCAAAACGTATATATAATATAAAATAAACAAAAAAAAAGAGAGAAAGAGAAAAACGATGCAACACACATATGCAAGCAATAACGACAAATGCTCGCATACTTCCGTTTAAAACTAACGAGACGAAGCGATGTGAGCGTTGGTCGATTCGTTGATCGTTTTTATTGTTTCTATTTTTCCTTTTTAAAACGAATTCAACGCGAACGGAAGTACGCGTGCAAGTCGTTTCTACGCTATTTAATTACTAAACGTCAAAAGATGCATGAATCATGTATACATATATGTATATATATATACGGGGGTGCAAGAAAATAAAATCTATGCAAAAACCGAGAATCCTAAAGAAGAAAAAAAAACTTGAGGTGTTGGAGAAGACTTACTGTAGGTCACAACTAGTCCTGTAGTAGCAGGCGATTGTGTACATTGTTTCATTGGGTTTTTTCATGGATTTTTCATGGAGGCAGGTTCGATAGATTAGGGGAATCGCACATGAAAAGAAAGAATCGAAAGAATGTGGTTAGAATAATTATTATATCGTCTACGGGCCAAATCGAATGTGAATTTTGGTCAGAAAGCGATCGTGTCTCTCACTGTAACTACGTCCTCCACAAAAAAAAAGAAAAGATGAGGACATCGGAAGAAGGGCCCCCCGACTGCCTTTTCTCTTCTTGCTTCTCTTTTTTTTTTTTTTCTTTTTTCTTTCTTTCTCTTGATTTCGCAGTTTCTCTATCGCTTTCATTTATATCTCACTCACATTCTCTCTTTCATCCAACACACACACGTACGTGTATGCGCATGCACGCACGTACGACACGCATATCACCCACCACACACGCACGTGTACGCGTACGCGCAAAGAAAGATCATACTAAATAAAATATACTGGATGTTTAGTGACAAGACATTATATCGTAAGGGGGTTTGTATACAAGGGGTGTTCGAAAGTGGATCTTTTCAATACTTGCTGGTTCTAAATGGGTCAGTGGTTTAAAAATGTATTAGTCACAAGACACGAGGGCGCAGTGAGACAACTATGATAGTGATAGGGGGGTGTGGTAGCGATAATAATAAGTTTATAATAAATAGAATAGAATAGTTGGAGCCGTCTGGCGAGCGATAAACGTACCTTCGCCGTTTCTGTATTCCAAGGTGTCACAATCGCTCGGCTGTTTCTTGTTACACTCGTCTGAGGCCCTGCTGCATCGAAATTGCATTATATGAGTCGAGTCGAGTGAAGCGTATGGGTTTAAATGTAAAGGGTTTCTGTGAAGAGGTTCTTTCTTTTAAAAAAAGATGAGAAAAACGATATTTTAAGCGATTCGGTTACCTTCTCAGGAAGAGAACAGTCAAGACGATGATAATAACTAGAAGGACGACGACTGCAACAACTGCACCGGCGATAATTCTAACCTGCATATTATCATCTTCACCAACATAGTCTAAAATATAATAAGGTATCATGTTAAAAAAAACGAGTTTAATAATTTATATAATACAATATTCTACGTGTCATTTTACCAAGTCCCATAGCGTGAGGTGTCTTTTTGTAGATAACAGGGGTATATTCGCCCCAGCCACGTGTCGTTTTAGCTCGAACCTGAATCGCGTAATCTGTTGATGGTTTTAGGCCTTTAAACGTGGCAGAGAGATCCGAAGTTTGGATCACAGTGGCGTTAATGGCATCGTCAAAGCGAGGATAACACCTCACTGTAAAAATTGAAAGTTTCAATAAACATCTTCGACTTCATAGATATAAATTAGAATTTAGCATAAAAACACGAATTCATATAATTACCTTCGTATCTCTCGACGTGATCGCTGTCTCCACCTACTTCTGTAACCGGTGCATCCCAACTAATGCTCAGTTCGGAACTTTTGACGCTAGTGATTCTAACATTGCTGACTAAACTTGGTACGCTCGCTTCTGTGGTGACCGTGATGTCCACGTATTCCGACTTTCCAGCTTGAGCAGACACCCCATTTTCGGCGAACACTTGAAAACGGTAGGTCGTTACAGCATTTAGGCCTGTAATCGTGATCTTCGTATCGTTGAAAATCTCCTGTTATGACAAACATGCGTTATAGAGTAAAACAAATGTGATAAGAATTAAAAGTTTCAATCATGTTTATCAGTTTACCGTGTTGGGTATGTATTTAACACCCATACTGCATGCATCGCAAACGACTCTATAAGTTGTGTCGGTCCTACCACCGAGTTTGTGCGGTGCGTTCCACGAAAGAATCACCGTAGATTGGTCCACGAAATTGACGGTTAAGTTCTGAGGTGCCGACGGTGGTTCTGGCAGATAGAAAGAAGCAAATGATTATAAAATAAAAACAGTCAAAGGATATCAAATAAGATTAGATTCCAATTAGAGGAAAACTTACGTGTGCAGGGCATAATCTTGGGATCATCCACGGCTCTATAATAATCGGTATCGCACCGACACTCGGTGATAGCGTACTCGGTGGATTTACTATGATTGGGACACTCCTCGCAGCTGTGAGGTCCAGCCTCGTGCTTGAATCTACCGATCGGGCACTGAATGCATTGTTGTTGTTCAACATCCGCTTGGTAGCCAGGTTTGCAATGACATCCACCACTGGGTAGATACCATTTACCATCACCCTTGCAGAGGAACGTCGGTGTTTCGATTTTAATGGCATTTTCTACGCAGGTGCCGATCGTTTGTTCGACCACGGCAACTTCGCGGCCGGTCGGTGTCGCCGGATAATGAGCAAAGTTAACCGAAATCTCTGGACAACTTATGTAATAAACCTTTATAGCGAGAAGCGAGATGCAGGCACCTTGATCACGGAACGCAAAGTATATGCCTTTTTTCGTCACTGGTACGGATTTGATTTCAGTGTTAATCACCACTTCCGTATTTGTGTTGAATCTACCCTCGCCAGCGGCTATGCGTCCTGAAACGTTTCGAACATTATCACATATATATTTTCTTATTTCTCTCGATGATAAATCAAATATTAACTTTTACGGATATAAAAAGATTCATGCGGATTTATCTAAAACTTACCGATTAGTTTATAACTGTCCGGCTCCCATGGAGGTGGCTCTTTCGTAGCGGCGTCAAACTCGTAGTAGAGAAGACTGAAGGTTTCCTTGCAGCTAAGAGCATTTCCAGGGAACAACGAGCAGTCTCGTGTCGTGAATTTGATTTCTATGTACATGCGGTTCGCCGGACCCCTCTCGATAAACGGCGTCCAGAGCCAATTGTTCACGTTGTTGTAAGCGACGTCGCAGACGACGTAACTCCGCCAATTGATGCCCTTGTCGAAGTTTGTGAACGACTCTTCCACCCACTGTAAGTAACGAACGAAAGTGTCCTTAATTATCGAACTCCGTTCTACGATGTAAACAACTTCTATCTAATTGCGTGGAGTACCACATTGGTGGTACTCCTCTCTCTTAGCCTACCAATGACGGGTTAAGGACGCGCGACGGAAGGTACGGAGACCTCTTCTCGTCGACTATTTTTGGAGCGAGACTCGCAATCACGAAATCGTCAAACGAATCAGACCGTATTAAGTCCTTAGGGAACTTCGTTTTCGACTCCTACGACTTCCCACCTCTAATTTTCGTTTGTTTGCTTCTTTTTTGCATCCATCCGTTTGCGCGTAACCTGCGCGCCGCCGGTACTATTTCGTTGAACGCAAATTTACATCGAGCAAACAGTAAATCACGTCGTCGTCGTCGTCGTTCGTACTTGTTGTATAAGAGAAATTCGTAAACTCATTTCAAATACTCTCTCTCTTATGCAATTTCATTGAAAAGTTGCGCGTTCAAATTTGACGCGTCCACCACCACTAACAATTAATTGCAAGCAGCCTCTGTGTTTTGTGTTTCCGTTCATTTCGATCGATTATCACGACTCGATAAAACAACTCTCTTTCTCTCTCTCTCTCTCTCTCTCTCGTTCTCGAGAGTACACGAAACAACAATGCAACCACCCCTGTGCTTGGAAAAAAGAACAAGCAAAAAAATAGGATTTACAATAGACTATCGGAAAACGGGGCCATGGAGAAGGGGAAGCGAGTCTTGATACGAGTGAACGTAGGTAATGTACTACATATAACTTCCATTGACGTTGCGAAAGAACAACGCGAATCGGCTTCTTTTCTCAAAGGAGGACGCGGAACTGTTGTTTTGCTCGTTTTTAACATATGCTTTTAAATACACGATAGAGAAATATTTTCGACGGATTTTTCACCTCGTATATGTAAGTATGTATTATATGTACGTAGGTGTGTATATATACGTATGAACATTAAAGGGTGACCTATTTTATTTCGCGCGAAGAGTGGTAAGAGTAAAGAAAGAAACTTAGAAAGCAAGAAAAAGAAAGATAGAGAAAGAAGAAAGGAGAGTAAATTTATTTCAATCGTATCCTTATCGAATATTTTCAAGAGCGATACTAAAAATGTATTTACAAGAACGCGTAGGTTTTCACGCGTAAACATAAGCAAAGTTTACCCTCCTCCGAAGGAACAAGTCAGCATCGAGTGAAATCAGCTTTTCTCGAATCCTTCGGATTCCCCGAGGCGTATCCCGCGCAAAACGGGTTTTACGGTCGCTTTGCGGAAGAGGCTACGAGTTCTCGTAGTCAGCAAACGGGCTTCTCCTTCTTCTTCTTCTTCTTCTTCTTCTTGTCTTGTCTTGTCTTTAAAAGAAGGTAAGGGGAAAGTCTTTTTGGCTCGGGGACTACCGCAGTTGGGATCTTCTCTCAGATTCGAGGATCAAGCTTTATCGATTTAGATACATATACGGATTGTATTTATGTATGTATATATGTATAAATGGATATACTTTAAATACATACACACATATACCTATTGGTAATATCCTAGATTTTGCTCGAGGGCTCGGCTCGCTTCGATATCCTGTGTGTATCCTTGATCCTTCTTCTTCTTCTTCTTTTTCTTAGTGAAAGAAAGAAAGAGAAGATGATAGGTCGTCGACTTGCGACAAACAGACCGCAAGGAATTACCGGCGCGCGTTACCATTAGTTTTATTGCCTCCCTTGACTCGAGGAGCTCGTCCCGTGAGAGACCGCAAAAAGTTCCGGCCGAGCAAGAAGGATCCGTCCGTCCGTTCCGTCCCGTCCTCCTTGCTCATCGTCTTCGTCGTTGTCGTTGTCGTTGTCATTGTCGTCTCCTTCGATACGCTATATGCTCCAGAGAAAGAGAGAAAGGAGAGACAAAAGGGAGAGGAAAGATAGCGAATCGAGCAGCCCAGGGCTCCCCCTCTTGCCTCCCCACCCTCCACCCAACCGTACTGAAGATTTCCTCTCGCGAATGTCTTTCCGGCAGGGAGGTCGTAATAAATTCCTTCTATGGTTCCACGCTTACGTGAAGAAATTATTGCGGAGTCCATGATAAAAAGAAGTAGGAAAAAAGATGATGCCTGCTTCTTTTTGGCTATTATCTCTTTCTCTTTCTCTTTCTCTTTCTCTTTCTTTCTTTTTTTCTTTCTTATACTTCCATTCGTTTTGTTCTTTTTTTCTCTCCTTTTATTTAGGATATGGAAAAACGAGAAGATAGAAGAGAAATGAGATCCCTGTGTGCCAGAATGCTGTATTATTCCGTAACGACTTTCTTTGTGCCTTCTTACTCTGCTTCGGAACGATAACGAAACGTTTTCTACGTTAGTTCGCGCGAGGAATCGTTTTCTATTCGAAGGCATCGTATCTTCTTCCTTCTTCAAGCTCCAACGGGTTTAAGAAAATCTTTCACGGATCTCGTGAAGAATCTTCCTTGCAAATCACTCCCTTAACCCCCCTCCTCCTTCTCCCCCACCCCCCCCAACACCGTCTTTCTTTCTTTCTTTCTTTCTCTTATTCCATAAGATTATATTTTCATCACCACCCATCGCATCTTGATAAACGTTTAAACACGCCCTTGGCCGGCCCGATCTTTCCATTTTTCTTTTTTCATGAATCCTCTCTTTTTTCTTGGCTAATATTGTAGATTTAAATTGTCGATTTAGAACAAAGGCAATAAAGCCGCATCTGTATTGTTTCTTTCTTAATAGAAGTGGGAAAGAGAGAGAGAGAGAGAGAGAGAGGAGAGATCGTGAATGAAAAGAGATCGAGAAGGGCTATCTGATTTTATTATCATCCGACACGCTAGATATCCTTTTATGGAGTAAATTGGGATGAAAGAAAAAAGGGAGAGACAAATCTTGCTTAATTCAAAGGTTAACAAAAGTTTCTAAACAAAAATATGAAAAACAAATAGAGATAGATAGATAGATAGATAGAGAGAAAAAAAAAGGTCTGTTAGGTGAAAATTTTCATCTTTTTCTCTCTTCCCTTGAATCACGCAAAACTACGTCTAAGTATGCGCGTTTAGAGGTATTATCTTAAAAGAGGAAGATATTCGAAAAGCTTGAAAAAAAGAATGAGAAAAAGATAAAGAGAGAGAGAGAGAGAGAGAGAGAGCGAATGGTTAAGGATGGAAGAAAAAGAATTCTCTCTACCCCATCTTCTACCCATCCTCTCTCTCTTTCTATCTCTCTGTTCCCCTCTCATCGTAATATTGCCACCATAATCGCAATTCCGATGGTGTAGCCGCTCCCATTGGAGTGTGGAGGGTAGAGAAAGTACGGGAAGACTACGTGGAGGCTGTGTCTGGGGTGGACGAACTTTTAGTCTACTGGAGGGGTTCGTGGATCTTAATATATATTGAGCTCTCGTGCACTCCACCCCTTGCGTCCTTGGGGCTTGCCGTTGGTAGTAGTAGTAGTAATAGTGCCACCCTCTCTCTTTCCTTCTCTCTCTCTTTCCCTCTTCTCTTTCTCCAGCCAACTCACTTCCTTCATCACCCAATAGCGTTGCACCGGCAGGCACGTAGATTCTCTTCGTCGAGGTAGGTATTACGTGCGTGTTCGCTACAGGTCGTTCCATAACGAACCCCGGAGACAGGTGCTGACTGGAAGTGGAAGCATGGAAGATTAATACCAGCTCTTAATTCACCATGGAACGCTTCTACTACGTTCTCGCCTTCGACTTTTCTCGCCTCGTGATCTCTTTTTTCTATTTCTTTCTTTCTTTCTTTCTTTCTTTCTTTCTTTCTTTCTTTCTTTCTTTCTCTTTATATATATATATATATATTTCTATTTTTCTCTATTTCTTTCTCTCCCTATCTCTCTTTAGACGTACAACTTATTTCAAAGTTGTTATTGCCCTGGGAGTCTCAAGCGTGTTATGTAATAACAATAGCAGTGATACTTTTTTCGGAGGAAATCATGAGAGATACTTGCTAAGTTTCTCTACTTATTTCTTTCGCATGGAGGAAATGAGAATCATATTTTAGAAAATCGTACAAAATTGTATATATACCGTATGAGAAAGTTATAACGGATTATTTTATTTATTATCTTTTTTCCTTTTTTTACATATTACAAATTGAAGATAATTCTGAAATATATATATTTCAGAGAAAGGGGACATAATTATAGAAAATGATTCAGTCAGTCAGTCAGTCAATCAGTCTGTATTTTCTTCTCCATAGAATTCGCTTTTGTTTCAACGTAGAAATCTTTTTGTCTCCCCTTTTCTGTTTTTTTTTTTTTTCTTTTTTTTTCCACCTATGAAAAATGGTTCATAGAAGACACGAACTTGACGTTTTCATAGGACTCGTCTCTATCACCACGTTAGAAGAAGCTGAGACTCGTTGGAAGAGACAACAAAAAAAAAAAAAAAGCGTCGGTTTATCGCCTGGAGAGGAGGAAGGGTGGGAGGGAGGGAGGGAGGGATTCTTCTACCGCGAGATCGGAGTAATTCGAAAAGAATAGAACGTGGCAGAAGAGAATGGAAGGTTGTTTTGAAGCGGCTGGTAGTCGAGCGCGTCAGACACGCGCTCGGAGGGTGCAGCACATCACGCACGAGCAAGTGCACATATGCGAGGGTAACTCTCGCAACCCTCAACCCTCTATTCTCTTCTCATCCTCTCTCTCTCCCCCCTCCCTCTGTCTCTTTCTCTCTAGGTTGTGTTGGATAGGAAGGGGATGGATGCATCGAGGCCGTGTTCGTCGATCGAAAACTTTGCGTAGCCGTTTTATTTGGCATCCCACCTTCCTCCTACTAACCATTTTCATTCAACAAATAATCTATATACAAGTATACAATATAATTGCATTTATGTATGTATATATATATATATATATATATAAGGTATTATTTCCTTGGGAGGAATTCGAAATCGAGGAAATGGCATTTAAGGAGGATTTCTCCTTGGTTCTCAGGCGTTAACTGAGATTCCTTTTTCGCGCGGGTGAACGCGAATTACGAGAAGTCGTTGGC